AGCACACAGGTAAGGGTGAGGTGCAGACTTCTCACATCTGGGGAACACAGCTTCAGGACCTGTCAGCTGGCTGACATGACCAAGGACCCTAAGCCGGGCAAAGGCCAGGAGGGGCTGTGTGAAAATCTAGATGCATTCAAAAGCCCATCTTTCCAGAGATAGGCATCCATGGGCATCCTACCATAGTTTCTTCAGTCGCTCAGTCAACAAAACAGGTCTTTTCCTGGGAGTAATTCTGCTACTTCTTAAAAAAGAAGCATTTTCTAGATATTCCCACAATATCATTACAAACTGTGCTAGAAACTACAAAGGAAAAGAATGCAACACCCAAATGAGTGGTATCACTCAGATTAAGGTAAGGTATCAAGGGAAAGTTCCTCTAAAGAAATTAAGACGGGGGGCCTCCCCGGTGGCACAGCGGTTGAGCGCTGGGTTGCAAAGCTGCCTGCAGCCTCTGCAATGCCAGTTCGATCCCCGGCCACTGGCGAGGGTCCCACATGGTGCGCAGACCTCTCCTGCCGCCCGCTGCTCCCCTCAGCAGTGTACTTCGGTCCTTCTGCCTGTTCTGCTCCCTGCTCTGGCTCTGGTGAATTCTCTCACCCTCCCACGCTTCTGACTATACCCAGTGCTTATATAAATAAATAAATAAATAAATAAATAAATAAATAAATAAATAAATAAATAAATAAATAAATAAATAAATCTTTAAAAAAAAAAAGAAATTAAGACGGGAAGGAGAAACAAGTATTAGGAAATAACCTCTCAAGCATTCCAGTTAGAGGGATCAGCATGTACAAAGGTGTGCAGGCAGGACAGACCTTAGCCTTTTTGAGAGCCTTCAAGGTGGCCACTGTACCTAGGTCATGCTGACTAAGGGGGCACTCCACTGGATGAGGAGGCAAGTGGCCAGGGCCAGATCACCGTAGATCCACCACATCGAGGTATGGAGTTTGAATCTCATTCTAAATGCAATCAATGTGAAGTCAGAAGTCACCGCCAAGTTTGAAAAAGAAGCATTAGGATCCTATTTACCTGGTTACTGGGATGGAGGATGATGATTTAAGTTGCGGGAAGAATTAAGGCAACTCTGGGGAAGCTATTTCAGTAGTTGAGAAGGCCTGGGCCCAAAAGGTAGCTGTGACAACAAAGAGGGCAGGATTTAAAGTGTCAAGTACAACAAACATATAGTGAGCACCTTCAGTGCTTCTATCTTTGGCTCTGAAGAGTTCCCTTAATCCCTAAATAAGACAGAAGAGCTCACATACAAGGCAAAGACAATAGGAAAAAATTCAATAAACACCCTTACAGTGATAAATGCTCCATTGAAAATAAAACAGGAAAATATGACTAGGGGACCATTTAGAGGTGGTTAGGATGGGCCACTAGAAAGAGGTGACAGATTTCATAAATCCTGTACTTGTCACAGAGGGTCAATAAATGGCATTCACTGATATCATTACTATTAATCAAAACAAAGTCAAGTACTGAGTGAAAACTGTGCCATCAGAATTGACAGACACCCTTATATTCTTTATCAACTCTGTCAGAGGATGGCACCTCAATGCCCATTTTGAAGACAGTAAGTTACCACAGACCTACCAGTCTCTTATACATCCAATGTTTGTTTCCTTCTTTAAAAGGTGATTGCAAGGCCTCGCTGGTGGCACAGGGGTTAAAGACAGCACACGATCAAGCTACTGCCAACCTCTACAGCATGAGTTCGATCCCCAGCTGGCCAGGGAGCAACCCACATGGCACAGCAGACCTCTCCTGGCTCGCCCGCTGCTCCCCTCAGCAGTGTATTTCAGTACATCTGCTTGTTCTGCTCCCAACCCTGTCTCTGGTAAATCCTCTCACCTCCTGCACTTCTGCCTTACACCCCAGTTCTTGTATGCATAAATAAATAAATTTTTTTAAAAAATAAAAGCCGATTGTAGTTTCTGAGACGAAAATGAAACATAGGATGGAGCCTCAAAAAAATGCTGAAACAATCACTTTGTCACAAATCTAGATAGAACACTATGAGACAGACTGAAGGTTTACTTTCACCTGTTCTCAACCTCTAACTTCATATGCAAGAACCAGTAAGCAGCAAATAGTAAACTGTACAGCGTAACACAGACTGCAAGTCACTTATTAAGGTGACTGATTAACATGAGCACAAACCAGTACTGAACCCAGCTGGAGGCTGAGTTAGCAGAAAAAGTCTACTGACAAGTGAATTCAGGTAGTATAAATGGTCTGTCCTTCTCTTCCATCTTCTATCTCAAGGGTATGACACACCTGCTACACTAAAGATAGAGTTTTACATATCATGGTCTAAAAGTGACTTCAAAAAACATGTTCATTTTATAATTACTATAATAAGAAACTACATTCTCAAAAACCACATTCTTTAACAGCAGCCCTGCCTTCTATCCACTAGCCCCACTTCACTGGTTCATGCCTAACAAATTGTTATTACACTAACTTAGGGAGGAGTACATTTTGCATAAAAACTTCATGCTGAATGGGTTCAGTGGGAAGTCACCTGAGCACACACGACCTAAGATTTTCCTCTGAAGATGGAGAAGGCCCAAACCTCTTTGGCTGTGCTCCGCACCATAAAACTTTCAGGTTTTCATTTCCTAATGCTTGTTTCTCCTGTTCCTAAATGCATTATACTGTGGAGCTAAAACTGCTTTTAAAGAAAATTCCAATCCTGACTGGAGGAAATCTCCAATGGCCATGCTTGGTTTATTTCATTATTTTATGCCAGCAATTAGGCTGGCACAGAGAACACACAGTAAATACGTGTACAAGAAAAAAGAAAATAAAAAGCAAAGGCATGCCTTGGTGCCTATTCTATTAAAGCCACAGTTCTGATTAATTGTCTTAAATTTAACCCCCATATGGCATTATTGTAGACAGTAATCATCTACATAGTTCTAGTTTAAAGCATAAAGTTCAGCCTTTGCTGATTCACAAAATAACAACCAAGGAGTATCCTGGAATCACCAGGGTGCAAGGACGGCGGACAAGAGTCTATTTACTAACTCACCACAGTAAGTGAGGTGCTCCTTACAAACATTATCTCCTAAGACCACATACGTATAGCTCCTTGCAAACATATATAGGCCCAAAACCCTGAAGGTTGTATTATTACCCTAATTTTACTGTTCAAAACATTAAAATTCAGAAGTGTCCTTCCTCAAAGCCACATGGCTAGTAAATCCTCATCCATCTAATTGGGAAGCCCACCTGGAGCAACTCCCCAGACTTGTGCTCAATCCATAAAATGTTGCTCTAGATACTATAAGCCAATAGTTTACAGGCTTTTTTTTTTTAATAACTATGCTCTCTTTCATATAAAGTTTTACTAAAACCACAAACAGGCATATATCTGAAGTACAGGATAATATTAACCTTCTTTCAGAACTGCCCTTAGCCATTGGGGCAAGGCAATGAGTACTACTACATGCTTCCAAAGGTTTAATATGTTTTAACTAGACAGGTCACCTGGATCTGTACCTTCTCATTTTTCTTGATGCTTAAGTGTTGGACAGCTCCTTCAAACCATGTTAGGGCACAACCAGTTATTTTACTCAGACAGTAATGATCTACACAGTTCTAGAGCTCAGTTCTGTAGCTCCTACATTCATGGTTGAAGGAAAAGCAAAAGAAAAGAAATGGAGGTTAGACTATGAGGGAGTATTTGGTAAAAGGTATTCTTATGAGGTGGCAGAGGCCTGTGACTTAAGTGACTGGTCTGAAAGGAAAGAGGGTCAAGTATGAAGCAAGGGGCACTCTCTCTAAATGATGGATGTTATTACATCACAAATACGCCAAAGAACAGATTAATTAATTTCCCAGAGGATTTGTTAGACTGTACTTTTAGTTTAAAAAAATAGGGTTATATGAATGAAAAAATCTTTGTAGTTTGGAAATTAAAAGGGCATATACTGTGACTGTTTATTTCAGAGTACTTAGTGGGCCTGGACAGCAGGACAGGTTTTGTCACACTGTTCAGATTTTCGTGTCAGTGTGTGACTGACTGGTGTAAACATGAGAGAAGGTCCATTTCTGCAAGGTCCCTGCATGGACATAACTGCACAGACAAGGCATTGGCCACAGCCAAATGTAGACAGTAATCGGTCTGGGTTGAGATATGAGCAAAGAGGCAGCAAGTTCACTACACAAGACACTTGTCTGCTGGCTCCTGGATCATACCTGGCATCTGCTGAGCTCTTTGGCAGGCCACTCAAGTAACTACACCATACATATGTCAGTGCTGTTTGAGGGCCAATTTAACCTCTCAGCCCTCCTTGTTCTGGTGACCGTCCAGCTGGAAGTGGCCTTCTGATTCAGTTCTGGCCAGTGAGATGTAAACAAATGTCAGGCAGTTGTGTGGGGCTTCTGGGTTAAGTTTCTGCCTTCCTGATGAAAAAGACAGACTGACTTCTCCATCTTTATCATTCATATTCCTGCCAAGGCCACCGCCATGGTGCCGGGAGATCTAGCTCTCATCCTGAGAACCTGAAGTGTTAAGTATGAGGATGACAACATTCTAAGGAAGGTGACAAAGAGAAGAAAGAAAGTCTCTTCGTCTCTGGCAACATCGGTGAGCAAATGCGTCAGCCTTGGCCCATCTACATTCAGACATTTTGTCATTGAAACCATATAAATCTATAATTATTTACGTCACCAGAGTTAATTTTTTTGTTTCTGTCACCTAATTGAGGTGACAGATACTCTGATAATTCTCTAAATATCTTTTATCTGAAAGCAAGTGGTTCCCATTGGAAGAAATGGGGGTTTCTTCTATCAGTCATTTCCCCCCCTTAAAATTGCCTCACTAGTAGCACAAAATAGCTATATTCTTTTTTTGTATGGTTTCAGAGCAGATTAAAGAAATGTATCCAGAACTTTATGTCCTAAAAAGAAAACACTAAAAACACATTCCAGGTATAAAAATATAAAATAGCCCGCTACAAATTTAGCATATTTCAGTGGGACTCTACCTTAGAGATGTTACTTGAGTGACTCATGGAATGTCCCAAAGTCTTCTCATTCTGCAAGAAAACCAAACAGTGTTAAGTATAAAGCTTGCATTAAAACGTGCAAAGAACAAGTAATTGATCATGACAAGGCTACTGACAGGTCATTCCTTCAACTACAATTTGCTGAGCACAAATCACTCTGTACTAGCTAGCTATCAGCTACTGGAGAATTTAGCAAAGATGACTAAAATAACTGTCCCTGTGCTAAAGGAACTTAAATTAACAAAAGAACAGGAATTTAGAATTAATGTAAAAATATGAGGGCAATAAATGCCTTACTACACATTCAAGAGGAGGTTCTAGACAGATATAAAGGTTGCTCTATCTTGTGCCTCCCCGGTGGTCTAGGGATTAAGTCTCAGTGCTATCACTGCTACTGCCTGAGTTCCATCCCCAGTCAAGGAGCTAACCCACAGACTGTACAACAGACCTCTTCTGTCTCTCCCACTGCTCCCCTTAGCAGTGTATCTCAGTAAATCCTCCTGTTCTACTCCCCACTCTGTCTCTGATGAATCCTCTCACCCCACCCACCCCCATGCCTCTGGTCTACACCCCAGTTCTTCTATGCACACACACGCACACACACACAAAATAAATAAAAATTAAATTTTAAAAAAGTTGCTCTATCCATATAATTTGATAAATGAATTTAATAACAAAAGTTTTTATTTTCCATTAAAACAATTCAATATTTTATATTGGTAAAATCAAATAAATAACAAGTTCCATTATATACAGTAGTTTTATTTTTTTTTAAAGATTTATTTATTTATGCTTATAAGAGCTGGGGTACAGGCCAGAGGTATGGGGTGTGAGGGGATTCACCAGAGACAGAGTGGGGAACAGAACAGGCAGATTGACCGAAGTACACTGCTGAGGGGAGCAGCAGATGAGTCAGGAGAGGTCTGCTGCGCCATGTGGGTTGCTCCCTGGCTGGTCGGGAATCGAACTCGTGTTGCAGTGGCCGTAGATAGCTTCATAGGTTGCATCTTAACCCTTGCGCCACCAAGGAGGCCCAGATACAGTTGTTTTAAAGTCTGAAAGCAGTCATATTTAGGGCTGCTTTCTCTATTATTTTGTAGGAAAATAAACAGTTCAGTCCCAATATAGATCTGATTTTCCCCCCATTAAACATTGCTATATTTATTTGTACAGAAAATCTAATAAGTTCAGGAACACAACAGACCTATCTTCTAGGAAGCAAATCTGAGTATTAGTTCAAATCAGTTGTTCACTTATTTATTCCATATTTGTTTACTGTGGGATTCCTATATGCAAATAAACATGTCAGGCACAGACCAGAGACAAAAAATAATTCTTTTTTTTAAAGATTTATTTATTTATGCATACAAGAGCTAGGATACAGGCAAAGATAAGGGGGGAGGGTGATATTCACCAGGGACAGAGTGGGGAATACAAGAGGCAGACTGACTGAAATACACTGCTGAGGGGAGCAGCGGGCTAGACTGGAGGGGTCCGCTGCACCATGTGGGTAGCTCCCTGGCCAGTGGACGGCTTCACAGTGCTGTGCTTATTTAACCCCTTGCACCAGGGAGGCCTGAGACAAAAATAATTCTGACTTCTAGGCCTGATAATGTTAAAAGAGAACTGCTTTGAAACCATTTGTGCAGGGAATATATAACTAGGAAAAAGTTGAAAGAATGGCAAAAATATGATATATTACATAAAGTGGGTGACACCAATCTGTCCTACAATCCAAATGGCATATTTCTGAGTCAGAAGATAGTTTAGAAAATATCAATGTCAAGAACTGGGATTAGGCATACCAAAGAGGAAAAGTTTTATTCTAGGTATAAGCTTCAATGCTCAATAAAAACTTTGACAGATTACTTCTACACAATCTGTAAAATGTCTAGTCCTGATTAGAGGATGCTACCACTTGTACCCTGGGAGATATGACAATCTCACAACAGCTCCATCCTAATAGAAGGCACCAGCAAAAGCACACTGTGATGCATATACTTCCTGGCTTGTCTTTATCTCCATGTCCCTTTGGTGAATTCTTTTTAACTACATTAAACAAGAGAGCGCCTCAGACCTCAGCTCTTCTCATTGTTGTGTCCCTTAGACTAGTGCTTCTCGAACTCTGTGCACTTGAATCATTTAGGGATCTGGCTAAAATGCAAACAGATTGTGACTTGTTAGGTCTGAAATAGGTTGAGAGTCTGCATTTTCAATAAGCTCTCAGATGACTCCTTGGTGCTGATGCCAAACCACACTTTAAGACAGAAGTTTCATTTAAAATCCTGAGCCAGAATAATCCATAAAAGCTATGACTCATTTTTTCAAAAGTAAATCAGGACTATTATAAAAGTAAGTTTCTGTTTAAAAGATGGCAGTGAGGCTACAGTTAATTTAATACAAATAAATCAATCAGGATACATACATTGGGAAAGACTTAGTCTGAAGGTGTGAGAAAGAAAATTTTTGTGAAAGTAAAATGTTACCAAATCACAAAGATAAAGGGAAGCTCTGCTGAAAAAATAAGAAACATTTCACAACTTAATCAGCACTGTCAATGATGTTTTGCAAGTCCATGTATGGCTCCAATAGACTATACCTTGGGGCAAAACAAAGACCCAAAGACTAAACACATCCTGGAAAGTAGAAGCCAAGAATTAATAAGAAGATAATGAAGTGAGATGTCTAAGCAAGTTTTTAAGATTCTGTATAAAAGAGTTAAACAAAATAACTTCATGTGGGAGTTCTACTGAGACACTGACCAGAACTGGCCACTAAAAAAACACAAAATTTAAGAAAAAAAAAACCTATGTGTAACAGACACTACTGCCTACCTAATACCCAATCCTACTGACAGAACTCTCCAGAAATGGACCCAGCTAAAAATTCTCACTTCCTCAGACTATTTTGTCTTAGAAAAAAGTGGAACATAATTAAGAGCACCAACATATGCACAATGGGAGTACCAGGGGGAAAGAAGAGAAAGGAGACAAAAATAAATAATGGCTGAAAAGTCCCCAAATTTGAGGAAAACATCACTCTGCACACTCAAAAACCTAAATTAAACTGCATAATAAAAGGAAGGGAACCACACTCAGACAACCAAATTAACAGGCTGAAATACAGAGAAAATTTTAAAAGCAGCAAGAGAAAAATATCTCATCATATATACAAAGGAACCCCCTAAAGACTAACAATGACTTCTCATCAAAAACTATGGAACCTGAAAACTGGAGAAAGACGAATTTAAAAAACTGTAACAAAAAGAATGTCAACAAGAATACTATATTAAGTGAACCTATTTTCAAAAATGAAGATATTCCCAGAAAAACCAAAACTCAAAGAATGTGCTGCCAGCAGAGATACACCTTAAAAGAAATACTAAAGAGAAGTTCTTCAGGCTGAGAGCAAGTTAACACCAAATAGTAATTAGAAACCACATAAAAATTACAAAGAATGCCAGTAAAACTAATTATATAACTATGAAAGACAATATACATGCATCCCTCTTTTCTAAAATGTTTTAAAAAGGAATTTTATAAAAATGTGTATTTAACTGTATTGTTGGACCTACAACATAGATAATGTAATACTATATTGACAATAACAAGCAAAAGCAATGGATAAGTACTAAGTGTAAGGAAATAATGACAAATGGCAATTCTAACCCACAAAAATAAATGAAGAGAATGAGAAAGGGTAAATAACTTTAAAATAATAAACTCTATAAATAATACATGTTCTCCTTTCTTTTATTTAAGAGACAGTTATATAAAGTAATAACTGCAATGATAAATTGTGTTGATAAAAAATACACAAATGTATGATGATATTAAAGAAAGGGAAGAAGATGGGCCTCCCCGGTGGCGCAGCAGTTGAGCGCTGGGTTGCGAAGCTGCCCGCAGCCTCTGCGGCGCCGGTTCGATCCCCGGCTGCTCCCCGGCCACTGGAGGAGGGTCCCACATGGCGCGCAGACCTCTCCTGCCGCCCGCTGCTCCCCTCAGCAGTGTACCTCGGTCCTTCTGCCTGCTCTGCTCCCCGCTCTGGCTCTGGTGAATTCCCTCGCCCTCCCGCACTTCTGACTGTACCCAGTGCATGTATAAACAAAATGAACAAACAAACAAATAAAATAAAATAAATAAATAAATAAAACATGCCTCTAAAAAAAAAAAAAATAAAAATAAAGAAAGGGAAGAAGGAACAGGAGTACATAGGAATAATGTCCACATATTTTAATGGAATTAAATTCTATGAATCTGGGCCTCCCTGGTGGCGCAAAGGGTTAAGCACCGCACTATGAAGCAACCCGAAGCCTCTGCAGCACGAGTTCGATCCCGGCCGGCCAGGGAGCAACCCACATGGCGAGGCAGACCTCTCCTGTTTTACCCTCTGCTCCCCTCAGCAGTGTTCCCCACTCTGTCTCTGGTGAATACTCTCACCCCCACCCATACCTCTGGCCTGTACCCCAGCTGTTGTATGCATAAATAAATAAATCTTGAAAGAAGAAATAAATTTTATGAATCTGAAGCAGAGTCTGTTTAGGAAAAAAATGTATACTGCAAGCACTAAGAAATAACTTAAAAAAAAATCACTTCGTGCAAAAGAAAACAGTAAAGGAGAAACAAAACATGTATATATATTATATATTAAAAAAATGAAAAGGTAGACATATTGCACCATATTAATTACAGTATTTAACAATCCAGCTAGATAATTTTCAAAGAGTGTAAAACAAGTTACTGGATAAATAATAGTTTATTTCAATAAATGAGGTTGGGACAATTGGACATACACATGCACACAAATGAAACTTGATTCTCTTCTTCACACCAAACACAAAAATTATAAAAACTCGTATTTTGTAACAACACAATATAAAAACTCAAAATTAATTAACCAGGCCATAAAATAAAAACCAAATTTAACTCTTATAGTAAAATGCTGGAGTAAATCTTCATGATTATGGATTAAGCAAAGTATTCTTTAACATGACAACAAAACCATAAATGACAAAAATAAAAAACAGATTA